AGAAATAGAAAATGAAGGGAGTGGAAGTGCAAACGGGAGCTGAATTAGAACGGAGGGAAAATGAGAAAGAAGTAGCTACAGGCTCAAGAAGCAAGAGCAGCCCTGCAAAGCCCCAGACACATCCAAACAGGTTTCCTGAAGGACGGCCTTGGTGGACCGACCGACCAGTAAAGCATCTATGCTCCCAAGGGCCCCAGAGGCTCAGTGAACAAGCATGCATTGCTCAGCAGTCCCACTGACCAGGCGACTGATCTCCTCCTGTCTGTCTGGGGCCGACCTAGCTGTGGCCTTTATCATGGTTGAGGTCTGGTTGTCAGTCAACTTCTTAATGCACCGCTGCCCGGCCACGATGTTACAGACCTGGGGAAATGAAGGGACAAGTAGTCATGGCCTGAGCACAGCCTGTCCTTATTGAAAATGGGGAAAAGGGCTACAGTCGTTGATACAAATACATGCGACCAAGAGTTTGCGATGCAGGTCTGTGATCAGGTCTCAGGTATTAAATGAGAATAATTACAACCCCACAGGGTGTCCAGGGATTAAATAAAACACTTACAGAGCTGAGCACAGTTCTGGAACACTGCACTCAGTACATTATAGCATACATTATTATTTACCCAAGGACTGAGTACACAGCTCTTTTGAATATTAAAAACCCAATATAACATAAGCAAATCAGATTCTTATGGCAGTTCTCCAGTGGTGGCAGGAAGTATGTTGCTCCGTCTGCAACCAACCAGGAGGAGCAAAAATAGCTAAAAGTTCCTGAGCCACTGAGGTATAGAAAGTACAGGAACCATTATTTCCTTTTTTCTTTTGTGTGTGTTGAGGACATGATGTGTGTGTGTGTGTGTGTGTGTGTGTGTGTGTGTGTGTGTGTGTGTGTGTGTGTGTGTGTGTATGTGTGTGTTGGGTATGCTTAGAGACTGAACTAGGGCTGTAAACATCCAAAGGAGGTACTCTACTGACTGAGCTGTTATCTCCAGCTACAGAAATCACTATTTCTATTGGCTGGCAGTATTCTTTATTAGGATGAGGACCATTCTGCTACTTGGCTCCTCTGTCTGTACACAAGATGGAGATTAAAAACAATGCCTAGGGGCTGGAGAGATGGCTCAGCGGTAAAGAGCACTGGCTACTCTTCCAGGTGACTAGGTTTTCAATTCCCAGCACCCACAAGGCAGCTCATGACTGTCTGCAACTCCAGTTCCAAGGGATTGACACCCGCACACAGAGTATATACATGCAAAACACCAGTGCACATCAAAAAAAAAAAAAAATGCCTAGTGACAAATAAAACTTAGACTTCTAATCAGGACACAGGGACAGGAAAGTTTATAATGGAGTAGAAAGGCAGCTGGTCTCAGGAGACTTGTTGAAGTGAAGCTCTGTACTTTTAAATGATGTCACCTTGGGCTTGTCTCTTAACTGTTCTGAGACTCAGCTTCTTTCATCTCAGCTATGATTAAAAACAAATAAAAATCACTAGCTGTCTCAAGATGCTGTGAAGTCAAGAAAATGTGTAACTTGTTCTGTATGGCTAATGTTCTGTAGGGCTGATGTTCTGTATGCACTGGCTTTAGTCCTGGCTCCCAGAGTTCACACTAATGGAAAGCCAGGTCAAGGGCACCTGCTTTTAAATTCCACATTTCAAAGCCTACACATGAGCACCCAGAATTGTCGAAATTGACTTCCTAAAGATGCTTTCAACTGTGGCACCCCACAGGCAGTTCCAGCTTCAGAACCTACACTGCCAGAAAGAAAAGGACTGTGGCGAAACTGGAACTCTGTGCAGTGCTGTGGGAATACAAAACAGAGACGCTGCTGTGGAAAAAACGGTACTGTGATGCCTCACATTAAATATATGATTACCATGGGAACCATCAGCTCCACTGCCGGGTACGTACTCAAGAGAAGAGAAAGCAGAGTTGACAGGTGTTTGTACAGCTTTGTCCACAGCGGCGTTATTTACATTTACTTGCTACTCAAGTGTCCATCAGCATTAGAAAATATAAATCAAATATGGTATACACATACAGAAGTGTATTACGCCTTAAAAAGAAAGAGAATCCTAACATACCACAACATGGATAACCCTGAGGACATCATGCTAAGTGAAATAAGACAGTCAAAAGGATAAATATATGCTTATACGTGCATAAAGGACCTAGAGGAGTAGTCAAGTCCTAGAAAGAGAAAGTAGAACAGGCTGCCAAGGCTGAAGGGGAGGTTGGTCTTTAAAGGGTTTAGTTCCAGTTCCAGATGAGGAACATTTTCTGGAGACAGACAGTGATGAGAGTCGAACAACAATGTGAATGTACTTAATGTCAGAGAATTCTACACTCAATGGTTGAAACGGTAACTTTGATGTTATGCACAGCTAAAAATTTGAAAAAGATTGATACAGGAATGAGCTGACCTGAACATGAACAAACAATTTTGCTGAGTCTCAGAGGCCTGAATAACTGCTTAAGGAACACAAAGACCTCGGTTGGTGGCCCTGGTTATTCTTAGCTCCCAGCAGTGGAGCTTGAAATGATCCACATTTTCTTACTTAAACCTGCCATGGATTTCCAAAATAATTCAAATAAACCTCTCCTGACTAGAAACTGGAACTCTCATTCACTGCTGACAGGACCGTGAAACGGGAGACAAATCCGGCAGCACTGAGGGCGTTAACAGTCATGTGTAAGTTTACTCTGACGTATGTCTTCAAGAGAGATGAGAACATAATCAGAGCAACAAGTCAGCGAATGCTTACAGCAGTACTTCTTTCCTATCAGCCAAAAAGCGTAACACAAATGCCCGTCAATGAGGAAGAAACAAAATGATGTAGCTACATAAAGGAATAACACCCTCATAGCAATGAGGGTGAATCTTGGAACAATTGTGCTAAATGAAAGAAACCATTCACAGCCAGGCATGGTGGTGCACACCTTTAATCGCAGCACTCGGGAGGCAGAGGCAGGTGGATCTCTGTGAGTTCGAAGCCAGGCTGGTCTACAGAGCAAGTCTCTGGACAGCCAGGGCTACAGAGAGAAACCCTGTCTCAAAAAAAAAAAAAAGAAAGAAAGAAAGAAAAGAAAAAGAAAAAGAAAAGAAGCCATTCATAGACTGTATGATTCTGTTTATATAGTTTGTCCCAAACAGGCAAATCCACAGAGATAGAAAATAGCTTAATGGTTACTAGGGACCATTAGGGAAAGAAATACAGGCTTTCTTCTGGGGGTGATAAAACATCCTGAAATTAAATAGTCATGATGTCTGCATAATTCTATGAATATACTAAGTACCACTGAATTATACATTATCACATTTTTATAATGTCAATTATGTCTTGATAAAGCTATTCAATCTTTTTATATCCTACAGCCCTCTGCCCTCAGAAAGACCCAGACTGCCTTGCTTTAGACATTGGTAGCTGTTCCTACTGCCAGGAAAGCTTGTCCCTGCTATTATTACAAGGATAACAGCCATAATTTGGGGCTCAGATCAAATGTCTCCTAAAAGAGGCTACCTTTGACAACAATAACTAAAATAGTTCCTTGACCTCCTCACATCCTTACTTCTGTTCCTTGACCTGCTTTATTACTTTTTCAGCACTCACTACCATTTGAAACTACATTCGTGTTTATCAATTTGTTGTCTGTCTTTCTAGAAGAATACAAGTTCCATGAGAGGAGGGACCCTTCCTGTCTACTTAATTTCTGTATTTCTAGTACCTAAATCTATATATAACATATATTATGAGCTTAATAAATATTTGTTAAATAAGCAACAATACAAGTCAAGGTATATAATTATGTAAATGATTCATCTTGAAAACTATTGTTTCACATAAATAATATTGTTTAAAAATTTCAGCTTGCAGCACATGTCAGTTTGGCTGGAACTGTCCCTCGAGACCTCAGTTTATATCTCCGAGAACATATTGCCTTCACCCCCTTCCCATGTATCAGCTGCTATTAAACAAGCCAGAGCTCTTGCTTTGCTTTCCTCTCCCTTCAGTCTCATTTTCTGGAACCCTAGAAGTTCAAAAAAAGCTTGAGCTTTAAATTTGTAGAAGCCGCTTGGCGGTGGTGGCGCACGACTTTAATCCCAGTACTCAGGAGACAGAGGCAGGCGGATCTCTGAGTTTGAGGCCAGCCTGGTCTACAGAGTGAGATCCAGGACAGGCACCAAAACTACACAGAGAAACCCTATCTCTAAAAACCAAAAAAAAAGGGAAAGAATTTAGCAAGCAGGAAGTCTATATGTCACATGAAAACAACCTTGAACCTTCCTAGAAATCATCTTTCCAAACTTGAAAATGAGCAGGGGAGACTATGACTGGCTCAGCAGAGCCGATGACCAGTGTCAGCCGAGCCATTCTCCGGTAGCCTTACCTCCAGGGGCAAATAGGTATGCTTCTGTTCTTGCCCGACTTGTAGGCAGGGCAGGTGGGGGTACTTCAGCTGAAGGTTATATTTCTGCTTGAAATACTGTGCCACGGTGCACTCCACGGTCTGTCCACTCTCCAGCTGCAAGGGGAACCTGTTTGGAGGAAGAGAAGGAAGTATCATAATTCAGCATCCAACCCCACCTCTCTACAGCCCCAGCCGAAGGCTTCAGGCCTCACTGCATCCTCTTTGGTCACTGCCACTCATGGGAAAGCAAGCGAGGGCTACAAGGCTTCACTGGACAAGCCCACAGATTTGATGCAACAGTCAACCGCATCTGACTCAGCTGTACTTCTAAAGCCTGAACAGAACAGATACTAAAGGTAAGAGTCCAACAGCCTGGCATCAAGAAAGGGGATGGCATCTGATGATGTTCCTACAGCTAACCCAGGGATCCTGACCTTAGCTTTTTTCAGGAGGAAGAATAAATTGAAATGTTCTCTATTTACAGACCCAACAGTACCGGTGGACCACGCATGCTCTATAGTAAAGGTCCAAGGAGGAAACCAAGAGCTCAAGAAGGTAAAACTCATGGGGATAATCAAGCAATCCGGGACTCCCATGGCTTCTCTCCGAGCACGGGCCAGTGCACGTCTTATTCTGAAGCACAACACGAGAAGGGAATGGGTTCCGAGCGTGGCCCTCGGCTACCGGCTGAACGCGCTCAGCCATGCTGCCAACTTACGTCTGATGACTAGCAGGGCGGCGGGTAACATTACACACGCGGTATTTCCTCTTCATCTGTCCACAGTGGGTCACTTCCACCTTCAGGCCTGAGAGACACACACCACTTGTCAAGGTTGAAACGGGTTGCTCATGGTCCCTTGCTTGGCCTCTCCCAGGGAGATTTCCTCTTAGGGTCAGAGAAGGCAGCGCTTTCCCTTCCCCATGTGAGTGGGTCCTCACCTTTGATCTCCTTGGTAAAGCGAACACGCTGGGAATCCGTGAGGGGCTTGGGTTGCTCATCTATGTTCCTGATGTCCAGGACCTCACACATGAACTCAATCACTGGCTGTGCTTTGTAGAAGGCAGTGGCAGAGACTGTAGGGACAGGGGAGAGATAGATTGGCTCAGATGCTTTCAGAAAAAAAAAGCAAGCATTACAATTTATACCCTCTTCTTTACGGGGTACCAGGATAGGGGCAGGGTATGCCAGGGCTGCAGGAATTAGACTAGGAGTGTGGCTGCAGAGTTGGGAGGGATGAGGCTGGGACTGTGGTCACTGGATTCAGGGTGCCCCTGGCTCCATAGCTCTCCCAACTCACCATCAATGTTGAGCATCATCTTCCACATGGCAGGGCGCACAGACTGGTGAAAGCCGAACCAGACCTCGCGCCCACCCCCCAGCGGGTGGTAGTAGCCCTCAGGCGGTGAGAAGAAGGAGCGGCCCACAGGGGTGTACCTGGCAGGGACAGGCAGAGAACTGGTCCCTCGGGCACAGGCCCCCACCCTGTGAGGCATCCTGGGCACGGAGGAGCCCTGGCCTGGAAGGCAGGACACCAGGGCTTTAATGCCAGCTCTGTTCTTGGGCCAACAGTAAGACTGACCTTGTACAAGTTTCTACCTTTTCTCTGCCCTGCAGGGATAGACGGAGTGAGGCTATAATAGTATCTAAGGATAGGGCCAGGGATCTAACCATCTAAATGTATATATATATATATACTTGCCTGACACATGGTAGGGCCTCAGTTTCTTTTTCCCAATGACACACTGTGGGACCTTAACACGCACTCCCTCCCTCCTCCCCCAGAAGCAGTTTTGCCAACACCTATAGCCTAGGTAATAACTACACTCAGTACCTCATAGATGCCAGGTGCCTCATGGCCACATCCAGGGCTTGCACAGACTCCAAGGGCACAGGGATCTGGCCACTGACCAGGGCTTCATGCAGCATACGCCAGCTCACAATGGCTAGCCACTTGATGGAGACCTTAAAAATTCTATCTTTCCCTTCCCCAGGGATTGTCACCTCAAAGTCAACCTTCAGGACAGAAAGAAGAAAAGGGTCACTATCACGTTCCCCCAGACGAGTTCGCCCACCACACTCACTGTCTCCCACTCCACAGATCTGCCATGAGGCTTCCCTCAAGTCACCAGGGGCTCACAAACAGACCGCAGAGTAAAGCACACACCCCTCTTTCCAAGGATGATGTCCAGTGCTGCTGGCCCTCTCAACCTGGAAGAGAACCCTTTGGGTCTATTTACGTCTGATCTTGGTCTGTTTGGGGACAGGCACACAGCACACACTAAGTGTCAACCCTGAGCCGTCATGCTCCCAAAATATACTTTCCAGCACGAAAGAACACAAGGCTCTCTGGACTGCCAGACTCGAGCTGGCTTCTGTGAGCTCCGTTCCACGGCAGACCCATCCCAAGCCTGGCCTCATCCCTAGCCTTACCCTCTCGTTGCCAATGGGCAGAGCTGTGACGGTGTAAATGTTCTTCTTTCCATCATACACAGGCTTGCGGTCCCCAAAGATCTGAGGCTTGAAATGCTGGACCATGTATTCCACCACCTCCCTGTGGAAGACAGACCGGGCATGGGGAAGCTGAGTGGAAGCTTCAGGCTTCTGGAAAGAGGTCAAGCTTCAGGCAATGTCCCGTCTATTGTGCTCACTCCTAACGTCTACTCTATGACAGTACTTCTCAAGCTTCAGCATGCCTATGAGTCGCCAGGAGGTTTCATTACAATCAGCTTCTGATTGGCAGGTCTACAGAGTAGCTTGAAAACCCATATTCTGACATCCTAGGTGCTGCTGCTGGTCCTCAGATCACCAAGACCCTCACAGACCTTCGAGGGGAGAAGGGCTCGTTCCCAGGTCTACTCTGAACCTTCCACAGCCTCTAACTCCCAGTCTGTCAAGCAAAAACAAAAGGGGAAATATCTGAACTAGACGAGAAGTAAAATAAACTGTAGAATGAGTTCATCTCTCCAGCTCTCCGGAGTTCTACGACTGTTTTCTCTCCGTTTTCACCTTTTCCCCCGTCTTACTTCGTGTGTTCTCCTATTTAGTTCCCACAGCCATATTTTCAAACTCTCAGCCACCCAACTATCTGACCATTCCACTTTCTAAACCTAAACTCTTATGTACTGCTACAATACAAAACACACAGCGGTACATTAGAAACAATGGTAAAACACATGGTTTCAATTCCAACTAGGTCAGTGCTACTCAGAAATTCGTCTTGGTTACTTACGTCCTTCATAGGCTGACTATATGAAACCTTTCCCACCAACTTCTAACTGCCTTTTATCAAAAAGCAGCTCTAATATCAATTAAAAAAAAACAACGCCGGGCGATGGTGGCACACGCCTTTAATCCCAGCACTCGGGAGGCAGAGCCAGGTGGATCTCTGTGAGTTCGAGGCCAGCCTGGGCTACCAAGTGAGCTCCAGGAAAGGGGCAAAGCTACACAGAGAAACCCTGTCTCGAAAAAAAAAAAAAAAAAAAAAAACACTGAACGGCAGCTAAGGCCACTTTGAGTTCACAAACACAAACATGCTTATAGGCACCCATCCTTCCGCTAGCATTTGAAACACCCTTTTCATAGATTATTATATATGAGTTTATTAATATATACATTTCATAGATTATTATATACATAATATAACCCTATTTAAATTCTTTCATTAGAGAAATACAATTCAAAATTAGAACAAGATACAAGTATCTACTTACCCATACACAAAAAAGAAAAAGAATTGTCTATACTAATTTGGTGTAAGTATATGCAATAGAACTTCTGAATTCTTGCAGGTTGGATTGAATGAAAATTGGTTTTATTAAAATCAGCTTCTGATTTGCAGGTCTACAGTGTATCCTGAAAACCTACACTCTGACATCCCAGGTGATGCTACCTCTAAAAACTGACAATGTCTCAATTTAAACAGTCTTGTACCAGCAATCCACTCCTAGGATTTTATCTTACAGATATACTCACACTCAGTGAAAATATGTATCTTTATATAGTAGTTAATAGTTTCAATCTTGTAGCAAAAGTTTAGACTCTATGTAAATATCCCTCAATAAATCAAGCAAGTTATACGGCCATTCCATGGAATATCTACTGTGCTACACAAAATAATGAGGCAGATCTTCACATGCTAGAACATACTATTTTCCAAAATATGTAGCTAAATAGGAAAATGGACAATACAGAACAAAGCATATAGGACTGTACATTAATATTACATATACATATGTTTATGCACACACAGAAAAATATCTGAAAATACACTCAAGATTGTTTTAAAAACGTATTAGGAGCCGGGCAGTGGTGGCGCACGCCTTTAATCCCAGCACTTGGGAGGCAGAGGCAAGCGGATCTTTGTGAGTTTGAGGCCAGCCTGGTCTACAGAGCAAGATTCAGGAAAGGCTCAAAGCCACACAGGGAAACCCTGTCTCGAAAAACCAAAAAAAAAAAAAAACCAAACAAACAAAAAAGTGTACCAGGGACAATATTTTTTCACTGCCAATTCTTAAGGTTTTTAATTGTGAATATGGTTTTCAAGTAATAGTAAAACAGTTTGATCTGCTTCTTCAAAGACTAATCCTTCCAACTATGCATCCCCCAACATTCTCCTGCCTTAGTAAGAATATCCTGCTCTTACTCCTGCCGTCTCTGAACTTGCCTTTTAACCTCTCCTTCTCGACTAGCTCCTTTACCCAATTTCGTTCTTAAAAGTTGTCTACTCAGCCGGGAGGTGGTGGCGCACGCCTTTAATCCCAGTACTTGGGAGGCAGGGGCAGGTGGAACTCTGTGAGTTTGAGGCCAGCCTGGTCTACAGAGCGAGTTACAGGATAGGCTCCAAAAGCTCCACAGAGAAACCCTGTCTCTTAAAACTAAAAAAAAAGAAGTTCTCTACTCATCCATTTCAACAAATGCTGGAATGTGCTAGGTACTATACTTCACTCTTATAGTGTTCTCTAGCCAACATGTTCCCTCTTTCCCTGTTTAATAAATTGGACTTGGAGCCATCCATGTGCATCACTTACCGGTTGACTCTGCGAGGACACTTATCCGGCTTGATGTCCACCTCATAATGGTAAACGTCAATCTTAGGAATGTCCACCTCAAAGTAATTGGCCAGAAGCTTGATTGGTTTGCCCACAGTGCCAATGCCAGGCCGGCGAGGTGCCTGGAACACCTGCTGCAGGGGAGGCAGGTAGGCACCTGCAGCTATTAAGACAAAGAGGCCAGTGAGGACAGAGTCTGGCAATCTTCTAACTACTAGAAGGCCTCTCAGGCCCAGCCCGACCAGGAGTGTGGTCTCTTTCCAGTTTCTTAACCTAGCAGGGGCCTTCCTTCCACTAGCTCAGACACTCCCAGGCTCATTGGTTTTTCCGATGCTTTGCTCCATTTTGATTCTTGTTTTAAACCTTTCTTCAGTTAGGAAAATGTGTATCTTAAACCTCATCAAGTAAATGTGTAATGAGTTCCTATCACATGAAGGAGAAGGGACCAAATCTGGTTCCTAGCTCACAAAACCCTTTCTTCTTTCTATGGTAGATTGAGACACCTGTCTCTACCAGGTATCTGGCAGACGAGAACATTCTCTGCTAGGAGACACTCACGTCACTCATCACCATCCAGAACACAGAATGGCATCAGGACTTTGTAACTATACCCTCTGTTAATGTGGATAGGAGAACGACCCCGAGAAAGCCAGGCTGGGGGTGGCAAGGCCAGTGCCTGAGACAGGGCTGAGATGTGGAGTGTGCTTGGAGCTGGAGGGAGATAAAAGAAGACTAGAGGGGTCGATAGTATCTGGAAACTAAGAAAATGAAGAGAGGCTGGCCAGGGCGGGAGAAAAAGGCTTGAATTGGTCAGAAAAAGGAGTGAGGCCTGCAGGCAGGGCTAGAGAGTTGAGGGATAGGGAAGGAACTGTCCAGATGAAGGATGGAGAAGGAGCAAAAAAAAAAAAAGCTGACATGAAGAAAGAGCTAGATGCTCTGGGAAGGGGAAGAGTAAGGAAGACACTGAGTCAGGAGAACAGAAGACACTTTCCATGCCTCACAAATCTTCCCACACAGAGGGTCCAAACAGCAGGAGGGGATCAATTTCAAGACACAGGGGACTCTTGGGAAAGGGCTAGGATAGACCAGCATGA